GGAAGCATCCGAACTTCACTCGGTTTAGTTTATCAGACAGATGCTCACCTTCAGGCATGTCACAAGGGAAGCACAGTAACGTAGGAAGTGTCCATGGAGCCAGCAGGTCAGCCCTGATGGAGGACAACGCAGCTCAGGATGGCTGCTGGAGAACCAAACCAGCCCACAGCAAGGATGTGCCCTCACCAATATAAGGAAGAATCCACTCAAAAGTGAAACAAGACACAGTCCTTATGAAAACACCCCAAGAAACACACGTACCCATGTGACTCAGCATCTAATGATGACACTTATTAGGCATGTGTAGCCAGCAAACCTAGCCATAAATCCCTTAATCACAGGTCAAAAGAGCCGTCGAAGCCCGCATTGATGGGATCAGGAAAATGCTGAAGCGTTTGGGTTTTTTTAACAAGCGCTCAGAGAAGCTGCATCAGTGACTTCCAGCACCAAAGTGACCTCTCGGACTTGCACCCTAAAAAAACACACTCAAAATTTACTTTAGAAGTATCTTCTTTTTACAGCATACTGGGAAATGTGAGGCCACAGCTGGAGTACTGTGTCCAGTTCTGGGCTCCCCAGAACACGAGAGACACGGAGATGCTGGAGAGAGTCCAACAAAGGGCCATCCCTCCTGTGAGAAAAGGCTGAGGGAGCTGGGACTGTTCACCACGAAGAAAAGACTCAGGGGGATCTCATCAATGTAGATAAATACCTGAAGGGAGGGTGCAAAGAGGAGAGACCCAGGCTCTTGTCAGTGGGGCCCAGTGACAGGACCAGAGGCAACGGGCACAAACTGAAACACAGGAGGTTCCCTCTCAACATCAGGAAACGCTTTTTCACTGTGAGGGTGACTGAGCACTGGAACAGGCTGCCCAGAGTGTGGAGTCTCCATCCATGGAGATACTCAAAAGTCATCTGGACTTGACCCCGAGTAAAGCCCCCAAGCAAAAAACTGCATCTTCAATCATAGAAGACCAGATCTTCAGAGGTGCTTAAAAGTCATGGAATTAAATCTACTGCTACCAGAGGGTGCACCAGGAGAAAGGACCGTGTGTTAAAGAGAGGAGGGGAAAACCAGCAAGAGCACTCCTAACCACAGATATGGTGGTTTTGGTTTGCATATGATAACTGATCTTTCAGTTTAGTCAAGGCAAGAAGATTTCCTGTGTAAAAGAAACTGTACTATTAAGGTGAAGAAAAACATCCAGAACTTACTCTCTGTGAAGACTGCAGAGTCTGTTAATATTTATGAAGTCTGAAGTGACTTCAAAGACTCCTTACTTCATTTGCGTATGTCATAACAAAAAGCAGCACTAACTCATTAAATTTTAAGGTGAGTTCACTACAAACTGTAAGTGTTTTAATAAATTCTGACCTCCTAGGAAAATACCTAACTTCTTTGGTTTTGTGTGTGCTTGTGTCCCCCGTATCAATGACAAGATGAAAAGACAGAACCTGCATTTGTTCAGAAACTTGAAAGATCAAAACACGTAAACCTGGAAGCCCCCAACATTATGACCCAAAAGCTACGTTTGACGGCTGGATCTCTGTGCAGAGATTATTTCATGGATTAACCTGCCACTGTGCAAGGCCAGGGCAGTGGGCAGGGAAAGAATCTCTTCTGGAAGACCCTGATTAAGCACTTACTGCCAAAAGCTTTCCCTCTGATCAAACTCTGTCATAAAAATAACACGTTAGAGGAAGTCATCTCCCCTCCTAACATAGATGCTGCCATGCAGATAATATTTAGCTGAGAAAATAGGAAAGAAAAAATGAAAGAAAAGGAAACTGTCACAGGATAAAGCTAGAAAATTGGGCGCTTTATTCGGGCCTGACAGTCAGTTTGGACAAGAGAGCCTCTAATCTTCTATGGCAGATTTTTCTGTACACAATACTGGAGTATTTCTGGTAATAGCCAGGGCTTTGGGGACTTCAAAGTTAAAGAGCATCACTGCTAAGCCTGATAAATACTAGGCATAAGGAGAGGGAGGAAGAGACCGGCACAAGCCACTGAACAGCTAGGTACGTGTCGCCCTTGACTCAAACATTCCTGAACAGCATTTATTTTCCAGACCTGTAAGACACAAACCATCAGGAAACGTGACCTATTACTCCTCAAATAAAAAGATATTAGCCATAGAACTGTTAATGTGACCATGTTACACAAAACAGTCTCAAATCTTTAAGCATCCCTACAGATTTGGTGGTGAGTGAGTCAAAAAACAAAGCATGACCCTTCAGTAGACAAAATGAGGTGAAATGGTCTTTGTTCATTTTCCAACAGATCTGCCATCACTTTGGGGGATAAACAGTTAATGCTCCTCTTTAGCTTTGAAATCTCTGTATTAAGGAGTGAATATTCAAGCATCAGAATGATGTTGAAGACACAACACATATATATAGTATCACATGTATGTATGCCATATGTATCCACAGGCAGTGTTCCATACCCCAGAAGTATATAACAGCAGTATAACTTTATATATAGCAGTATAACAGAAGTATATCTTTAACAGCAGCACCAATCACTTCTCAGACACTGCAGAAGTTTCCTTATCAAAATAAAATACTGAAGTTGGGTGGGGTTTTTTTCCAGGTCTCAAACAATATTAAATCTCTCTGGCATCCAATATTGCCCCAGCCATTCCCTCTCATAATGAACTCCAGTCCCTACAAGCTTTGGATACCACAGGCCGAGAGGAGGAGAAGGGATAGGGTCAGGGAACAGCCTGTGTTGGCCACCTGCTCTAAATCACCAGGAGTTAGTTTCCAGCCAGGAAGACAGCAGGGCTGCGTGTCAGCTCCCTGATTTCGCCACCTTGGTCGGGATCTCCCCTCTGCCAGTCTCTCTGAAACTGGGTCCCACTGAAGAGCGGAGCCAGGACAGGCTTCCCCCAGCTGCTGCCCTTAACTCCCTCACCCCACCACAGGCGCTGACATCAGGTCACCAGGCTATAGCCATGCTGCCAAGGTGGGCCAGGAGGGAGGTCAAAGCCAGGGTGATGCCCTCACCCAAGAGGAGAAGCCGTACCATGCCAAGAACAGCACACATACCTTCAAGCAGCAGCAGCCTCCCCCACACCACTCGACTGTCACCCCCCAACCAAGGACCTGCTGAACAGACTGGGTCTCTCTAGTGTCACAGCTAAAAGAGGAAAAAAAACCCCAAACCCACCAGTCTGACACTTTAGCTCAAGTTAGTGCCACCTGCCACCAGCCAAAACCATCTCTGAGAGCTTACCTGCAGAGCCGGAAACACGACATGGCTCATCTTCAATTCGGTCTGGCATCTCAGCCCCAAACCACCTTTATTACAGCAGAGGGATGAGCCAAACATACTTGTGGTCACCATATGAAAAACAGTGAAACATAACTCAGGCTTTCATGGATTTTTACACAATTTGGTATCATAACACCATCAATTAATTTTATATTTTGTCAGTTTCACAGCTAGTAGCCTAATGTCAGCCTCAGAAAAACACAGACTAGGACTAAAAAAAGCCCTCTCTTTTTGAATAATTAGATATAGCATTTGATACCTAAATATGGCATTTAAAAAAAAAAATAAGGTTCAAGACAGCTCACGCTTCTTATTCTGAGGAATGAAAGTACTTCTCACATGCTAAAACCTATGGCAGGATACTGTCAGATAACGCAGAGCGCAGGCACCTGGGATCCCGACTTTATTAAATATTTCCCCTCCCACCCACATCTCCACCAGCACTGGAAATGCGATACCCGAGAACCTGTCCATCATCCATTCCACATTCACACAAGCTTAGCAGCACCACATCCACGCCGTCTGAAACTCTGCAGCTGTAGTAGCGACGAAAACACGACGAGAACCTGTTATTTTCTCCCGTTTGCCCCACACACACGTTTAAGCCCAGCGACAGAAGCGGGCAGGAGTCTCAGGACTTTGGTGCACACCTACCGGAGCTTCTCTGGAGGAGTCTGGGCTGACAGCTTGGCCGGTGACCCTGCCATTTACCCAGCCATCCTCCTCTTGTTCTCCTTGAAAGCAAGCTCTCCAGCAGCATTTCTCTGCTGTCACTCCTCCAACACTCCCATCGCTCCACCATCAAGATCCAGACACCCCAGACGCTGCCTGCTTTGAGGGACTGGTACACTGCTGGCGACTGTTCAATACCAGCCTGTGGCCAGCCCCTGGCTCAGCCAGCCTCAGCTAAAGCCCCAGGAGCAAAAACACAAACGGCGTTACCAGGTCTTGTTTCCAAATCGGATGCCACCCAGACGCCTCGGGAGGAGGCAAAGGAGGGGTGCCCTGCATCCTCCTCGCCAAAGGGGATCCCCGCCAGCCGCCGCGGGGAATCCTGCCGCCATCAGAGCCAGCCGCGGGGCAGCCTGAGGACGAGGAGCGGGTCGGGCAGGGAGAGCGCGTACCGGCGGCCGCCACACGGTCCCCAAGACAACAACACCCGGGAGAGCAGCTGGGACGAGCCGCCCGCCTACCCCCAGAGGTGACCTCTACCAGCCCCACCGGCACACGCCGTGTTCGCTACAGCTCCGCGTTTCACCGGGCCGGTGATGCCACCTGTCCCCGCGGCCCAGGACGGCGAAGGGGGGGGGAGCGGAACGGAGCTCCCCCGCCCCGGGGATGGGGGCCGCCGGACACCCCCAGCGCCCAACGGGAACGGCCTCCCGTTTGCCGCAAAGGCACGAAGGCGGCCCGGAACGACCGAGCCGCTGAGCTCCCCGGCGGCTCCCCCCGCTCCGCCTCCCTGCCCCTCAGCCGCGGGCTCCCGGGGGCTCCCGGCCCGGCGGGAGGCACCGCGCTCGCAGCCCTGCCCCGCGGTGAGGGTCGCCTCCGTCCCCATCCCGCGGGGCCAGCGCGTCCCCGCCGCCCCGGACCGGGAAGGTCGGCGCCGGGCTAGGGGTGGAAAAGCTCGGATGAAAGCAAAATAAATAAATAAATATATTCTCATTGTTATTGTTATTCTCCTCCCCCCTCCCCAGAGACGGCCCGCCGGGGCACTCACCCTGCTCGTAAATCGGAGCAAACTCTCATTCACGCTCCCCGCGGTGCCCAGGCCGCCGGAGCCAG